GCAGTGAGCCCGATCTGACTGGTAAATCAGCAAAAAAAGACATAAAAAAACAGACAATAGCACAGCATAGGCTGGTCCAAAGGAAGTAGCTTAAGCCTCAGATGCCTGTTTTAGATCAGCAAAAGAGAGAGTGGTCAGACAAAGGAAATTTGAGGTACAAAAATGACTGGACTAAAAAGTGGACTTGCAATAAGATATAGCTGAAGCACAGCCCTGTATCTTTTCAAGGGTAAGAGTTTGAGTCAGCCACGAAAAACAGATTTTTTAAAAAGTTGTTTGCTTACTTTACGGCTTTATTATAAAGCCGATAGTAGAGATATGACAGGAAATGAGGGGCAGAAAGAGACGGGGTATTACATGCAATAAAAGTAATGGTCAGCACCTTAATTCCCAATGTTACAGCATTGCTAGAAGAAAAATTGAAAGTGCATTTAAAAAAAAATCTGCACTTCTCTTTGCGGTAACAATGTAAACACACAAACACTAAAGAGACTGTTGTTCCTGGACCTTTGAGATGTATTGTGATTAGGGCTTGGATTCTCTGCCAAATCCCGACTGACCCCAACCCAACCTGCCGGGTTTTTGCCAGTCCTGGCTGTAATTTTGCAAAAATTCCCCCAGGCTTGAATTGAGTTAGGTTTGCACTAATTTCCCTATTTCAATATGAATTAACAAGTGCTTACGTTTCACTTTCACTTGAGAGAACACTCCCGTGTTCGGAGTGACTATTTACGAATGCACACTGTGTTACCACACCGAAAAGACTTTAGTTGATCTTGTAATTATTTTTTTTTTAACAGTGGAAATTTGTGTTTTTTTTCAGGATTGAGCCTAAAACTGCTGCAGTGGTTTGGGCTCATGTCAGGCTTGGACAGATACTATGGGGTTTAATGTAGGGTCAGACCTGATTTTCTTTGGGCCCAGTCAAAGATCTCGTGATGAAACAGTCTTATGTTCCCATGACAGACCCAGACAGAAAACCAAACTGGCCTTAGTTAAATACGAAGAGACAGAAGAAAGACGAGACAGAAGAAAATACATGTCATGAATTCTGTATGAGTGGAGCTTCCTGACCTGCATGTAGTCAGTCTGCCAAGTCAGACTGTCTGGGAGACGCGAGTTTACTGGAGGGCAGACTTGCATTTGAGCTCTGGGTGAGACTGAATGACAACTCCACCACAGACTATGAACAGCTCTCTGGACTTGTTGCCAGAATAAACAGCAGCATTTCCATCGTGGTGTATTTATCCTACATTTCATTTTGGGTTTTTGTACATGTAGACTCCGTCTGGTCTGCTGCTCACTCCCAGTCCTCTACTCTCCAATATCCATTTCTGGTCCAACCTGAGTCCAGTGGGACCCCTCAGTCCTGCACAACTGCAGAGCCATGCCCCGCTTTTTCAGGTAATACACAAACACACACGCTCAGACACATTTGTTATTGCTATATATGTGAGAAACTCAGTGACTGCATGTTGTCCTAATACACAACTGGCCAGTCGTTGCGTAAAGTGGGCATGATTGTTGGACAGGGGCGTAAATATGCCTGCACTGGCAGCGTGGTTGCACTAGGACCCGTGGGGTGAAGGAATAATAAAAGAAGAATGTTACTGAAGTAAAAATTGTGCCATTTGCTATATATGTCCTCAAAAAGGCAAACCCATCTGCATCATGGTTTTCTTTTTTCTTTTTTAAATAGTCAGTAGCTATCGAAAACAAAATTATATTCTTTTTCTACATTAGCTAAAAAATCTATAGATGAACTATAAAACTATTTAATTAAATTACTATTTTCTTACTTTCTTTGGACTTTTTTTTTTGGTCAGACATGCAATGATGATTGTTGGGTATTATGTATGTTGATGTTGTCCAATGTCAAGTCTCTATTTGTGTCGAGACGATACATGCATGATAAGATGCACTAGGGCCCATCATAATAGAGGGCACTGGGGCCCATTGTGACCTCCTTTGGCCACTGTTGTTGGATTGCCTCTTTTGAAAAGTTTCAAAGTTTTTTAGACCAAGGTCCCCTACATCCTACGTTAAAGACAACCTATAAGTGCCTTGTTTAACAAAAAAACCTTTGTTTTCTGAACTTCCTGCAATAAGATAAGATGAGCCTAACCTTAAACCAACCCTAACCTCAGTACCCTAATATAAAGGTCGGGCGTGTAGAATTTAGTGGCATCTAGCACTAAGGTTGCATATTGCAACCTTCTGAAACTTCTCTCGTATGCCAAGTGTGCAGGAGAACTACAATAACTGACACCAAACACAAGTGGTACGTATGTAGATATCAATGACTCATTCTAGTAAACAAAAACACAATGATTTTTACTTTCAGGTGGTTGTACACCAATGAAAACATAGTAATGAATTCTATATTTCATTTTCTGCCAATATGTCCCCCTAAATCCTACACACGGGACCTTTAAAGCAAGACAGTGGTGGGAAAAAAAAAAATTCACATTCTTCCTCTTACAAATGAAAAGGAGAATTCATAAGCAAAAAACACACCTTGCTTAATTTCATATAGTCAGCAGTTTTTTACTGCTACAAGCTTACTTGGAATGGTATGACTACTAGCTTATGGTGACTAACATCAGCAAACTGTAGATAGATTTTGATGCAATGTCAGTGAGTCAGTTTGCTAACCCTAACCCTTACTTGGTTCTTCTACGTGTTGGAATGCATCATAGCTCATGCACAAACAATGTAATCACACACACCATTAATACTCCAGCTTTGTCTCTGTAATGCTGTAAACATTTTTATGGATAATTATGTAACCTTTGTTTTAGAAATAAGCTCAGTTGTGACTGTCCCATATAAAAAAGACAAACAAACCTTCATTTGCTATATCAGCCTTTTAGAGAAAACACTGGCTTAACTCTGGTGGTGATGGATACGAAATCTTTGTCTTCCTGTAAACTATCTCTATTTACGGCAAATCCCTCTCTCGTAACTACAGGATCTGTACGGTCATGTCACACAGCAGATTTACCTCAGCAGTTGTTTTTACACTGTTGTGTGTGTGTTGGTGTATGTGTGATACTGCGGGTGCCTGGGTTTCAAAATAAGCCACAGATGTTTCCTTTCTGGTGTGGACAAGAAGAGGGGGCAACTTCCTGTTGGCGAGGGGGAGCAAGAGAGGGCTGGTTGGTCAGGAGCCCCTCCCACCTATGTCAACTCTCTGACACAAACACACACACACCTCCAAAAAACATTTAATGTCTGGCAATTTAGTCCTCACAAGGGGGGTTGGTCCCCACAACGTTGGTGCATTACCAGGTTCCCCACAGTGTAATTTAAACAAGAACACACTCTCCTGTATTACAGCAGCAGTCAGACTTAAGAGCTACAGAAAACAGAGAAATCATATGACGTCACAAAGGCTGTTCACAACATTCAAACAGCTCAGACGGAACATTAATTTTCGTCATCTAATTGTGCAAATCATTCTGTGAAACCAATGACTAACCTTAACATTACTGTTAGCATTATGTGACATCATTGGCGCAATACTGGTAGCAAACAATGTAATATATCTTAAGTTTTAACGACTCTACAGTTTTAATCAGCTTAAAGTTACAATGACCTAAGTCATTTAACTTTAATAAATATCTTTAAAGACCTTATAGTTGGATTTGAACATTTCTGACTTTAGCGACTCCTAGTGGTGTCAGTCTAATTTTCCTACAACAATCACCTCAAGTCACCAGAATAAATCAAAAGATTCTACAATCACATAATTTATTCTTTACATAGGGCCTTGACCCTAAATACCAGAGGTTTTTCATGTCCTTAAAATTCCATTACTTATTTAATGAATACGTCATATCTCACCAGTCACCTCCATCGCCTTTGTTTTGTTTTTTTCTTGGGTGCAAAAGAGTTGTTTTGAATGAAAAATCAGATCTCATCTTGTCTTATGAATCTTGCGGCTAAAGAGGAAGAGAGAGTTCAGCCGAAAAGAAATAAAAGTATAACTTGTGACATATTTATAGCATATTGTTTATGCTCTGAGTTTTTTAATTAAGAACTGACTTTCTTAGAAGAATTCACCATATTCTTTCTACAAAGAAAGAATGAAATGCACTCTTTATGACAGCCTGAAGTATTATTAGTTATTGCATGTTTTACCTGAGTATCTTACTGGTTTTACCTACTCAAATGCTACAAGGGGGAATATTAGTTATTGGGTCCACTTTTCCAGAAAATAAACCCTGGCTTCTGTTCACATGATTCTGACACTGAAAAATTCCAGGTTTCTATGACTAAACTATGAGTGGGATTACATACACATTAATAACCCATTTATGGGGCTCATCTTGGTTATGATCATATTTCGGATGTGGTATTTACATGGGGACAGAGAATCTGGCTTATTCTGATTTCATGTATACACCTCGGTTTATTTTGGAGAACTCCAGCTAGTATATTTGGGTTCCTCATAAATGGAATATAGTGTTTATTAACATAAACATAAACAGGATACTCCAAAAACCCTCAATCATTAACAGGTTATCAGTATCCATTTCAACGCACTCAATATGTCAATGGGCGTTCCCCTTTTCTAATTCTAACTGTCCCCCTGCAGTTCCCCTCACTGCTGAATGGACACATCCCTGTACCTTTACCCAGCGTGGACGCTTCTTCTCCCCTGCTGCTCTCCTCCAGCTCCCACAAGTCCTGATGCCAGCCAGAGCACCAAGAGCAAATCGGGCCAACTTGGGCTGAATTGGGCCAGATAAGCACATATCGGGACCAAACCAAACAGCTCTAAACTCTGACGATGAACCACACAGGAGTCAAACTTCCTCTGAGTCCAAATACATTTTGATCCAAAGCCTGTTGCTTTGCATTTATTAAATGAAGAAACAGGAGCTTCACTCTGAAGCTTTGCTCTCTGAGAAGAGCATCTGCGTTAGACATTTCTTTGTGTTTACTACAGTTTGACTGCTCATGTTCTTTACATTTGTGTTTGGTGTTTTTTTTTGTTTTTTTTTCATGCAAAGGAATTGGCTGGCGGTCAGACAGACCTTATCACATTTCTCATCTCATTTTATATCTCATCTCACTCATCTTGGTCTAAACTTGAGCAATACAGACTGGTTGCAGTTTCATGACTTCCTACCCTGACTAATGTCAGTATCCACCACTGACTCAAACAATAAAAATCTTGGGAAATCTTTGCCAGGAATTATGGGAAACCAAACCTTAGCAATGACAGATCCCTCACTTAATAGATGTAAATACAGCTCCTTTAAGGGAGTAAATGTTCATCATGCTACCATACTGTTACATGAAAAATACTTTTTTTTTTTTTGCTTTTCTACCAAGAGTTAGTTTTAGATGAGAAGATTGATACCACTCGTGCTTGTGTGCTTAAAATAAAGCTACTGCCAGGAGATAGTTAGCTTAGCTTAGCATAAAGACTGGAAACATGGAAACCGTTTGCCTTGCTCTGTCCAAAGGTGACCAAACCTAACTGCCAGCAGCTATAAGCTCACTAATAATCACACTATCTGTATGAAAAACAAAAATGGAAAAACAACAATTTACAATTTGTAGTTTTATGGTTGGAATAAGGGTTGACTCCAGGAGGTCACCTCTACCCGACCAAAAACAGTTTTGCACATAACCTCCAAAATATGTTGTTTTTACAGTTTTTTTTTTTTAATGGATTAAACAACCACCAATGATTTCATCAGTAGCCTATTAGTGAGCTTTAGAGGTAGAAACAGACTTTAGGTGTTTCTCAATACCAAATACACCAAGTTTGGACTTGGCGTATTTGGGGGTTCGGACTTGGCAAGTTCGACTCGGGAGTACAGACTCCCAAGGACGGCTGCCATTGCTGCTGGTCTGTGAGAAATGCATTCTGGGATACCTGGCTGTCAAAAGTCCACACAAGTCACCTCCTGATGCATCCCCGATGGAACGGACAGAGCAAGTTCACATCCGGGCATTTGGACTGTACTGTACGATTGAAACAGTACTTGGGCTGTGACTGATGACGTTTCACACGTCCTCAAGCACACAAGTACAGGCAAGAACGCAGATTGAGAAACGTGTTAATTTGGGAAAGAGCCAAGCTAGCTGTCAAGTCTTCATGTTAAGCTAACCAGCTGCTGGCTGTAGCTACATACCTAAAACATAAAGCTGCTTTCACACCGCCTATCTGCAAGCGCATTCCCCCAAAATCATAAGTGTTTTTAAAAGCGGATGATGCAGCTATGGTCCATAACTGTGATAACAAGTGCTTCACTAAACACTGGCAGAAGTGCAAGCTAGCTTGTAGCTGCGTACCGTAGCAAGACAGCAGAAATCACTGAAATTACCAAAGATTTCTACACATTTGGACAGTTTATTATCATTCACTACTGCATCTTATCCTCTTCCTGTTTCGTGATGCCCACTATTTAGTTGGCCAAAGCCAGGTGGCAACCACCATAAGTTTTACACGGTAAATTTAGCACAGCAGAGCAAAATCTGTGCACATGCGTGTAGGCGGCAACTACTTAATATTCCTATCGCCATGTTGGAAATGGCTTCCCCTCTGCCACGTTTCCCTCACTGAAATGACTGGGGGCAATAAGTTACGAAGCAGCAGTGTACAAGCAGCTTAAGAGAGGTATAAATTTTCTCATCTTACTCTTGGCAAGAAATTATATTTCCCAAAATGTCAAATTGTTCCTTGCTGTTTGATAAAATGGGACTGTAAGTGGACGATTAAATGCTATAGGCTACACAGGCCAGTAAGTTAGCATTACAGATAGCAAGTAGCAGGTGTCTGTATTTTTTCCCCGTGTTAAGCCGTTCTTTAAATAGACCAAATCTTAAAATGTAAACAATTTTGGATGTCACAACAGTCAACCAATTGCTCATGTATAAACCTTTTTGGGGATGTAAAAACAAAGTGTGAGTGACAGTGATCATTTTTACTTAAAAAAACAAAACAAAAAAAACCCCTACTTGGTTTACATTCGTCATCCAGATCTGGATTGTTTAAGTGTGGCCACATGAGATGACTGACTCCTAGCAGAGCACCTGCTAGCCAGCTCACTAAAACGCTGTCAAAATCTTCATTTTTGCCTTCTGCATTGCTTTATCTTGACGCTGTGAACATTTTTTTTATCTGTAGGCCTACAGTTTCATGCCTTTTTTTTGATGCACTGTACTTTCCAGCCTTTTACCAGCTGTGCCTTCAATATTGTAAGACTTGTGTAAATGTATTAAGCTTTAAACCAGGTTTTAACAGACATTCCAGGTCAAAATTGCACAAACTTTCTTTTTTATTGTAAAATGGCTCCTGGTTATTTTTTATAAATTTATTGGAAATGTATTCTCAATGATTTGCTTGTGTTTTGTCGTGAGAAATGTTACCTTTTTTTGGAATAAATAATTTTACTTTTCAGATCATCTGTATCAGTTTCAGTTGTTAATACACACACATTCACCACTTAAAGAACGACCGCTGCACAGACTCTTTATGAAACAGATTAAATTTACTTTCGATGGTTATGAGAAATAAATAGTTCCAGTAAAAAGAGTCACACACCAACTGTTCACCGGCAGCTCAGTGTTTCAGAGAGGTCGAATTCACAACACAGCAGGCCTTCCATGCATCAGGCACACACATACATACACACACGCGCGCGGTCAGACATGTTCACATGAATTCAGGTCATTCATACATTTGAAAAAGTTTACAGTTTTACAACGATAAATATTTAGCCGTTGTAGAAATCTCCTTTCGTGCATGTCGCTGCTGTTCATGTCAAAAAAACTGCCATTAGCAAAAACAGTTTGCAGTTAACAGTGGAATAATCCTGCATTATGTTTGATTACAGGGACACTTGTAGAAAATGTGTGATAAATTGTCAATGAAACACACTGACACAGTTAATGTGAAATGCTTTATAAGTGGAAGGAAAATGATTTCTCATTTTACAGCTACCAAGGGAGAAATCATGGGGCAATGGGTCAACGTAATACAGGATGTCTACCATTAATATAATGACTTATTTCCTGTGAACACAATAATTGTTTCATTATTTGAAATGTAAACTATTAAATCTTCCATCTGCATTTCTTCTCTTTGTCTTGAGCTTCAATTTATGAAATAATAAGCTCATTATTACAGTTTGATCCCTGCTGAGGGAAAAGAAATATTCCGTCAGAGGTTTAAATTTGAAATGGGTATGTTTACAGGGTTATTACACTATTAGCTGCAAGCTCTGTTAATGTTTATTACATTAATGCTCTCAGCTAATAATTAGTTTAACAAGCATTAGTGATACGTCCTGCCCTTTTCTAGCATGTTCTAGCAAATCAGTAAGTGTTGCTCTAATCCTTTAAATCTCAGCAGACAATAAATGTGACATTTTCATGACGATGTCGAGCAAAAGAGCTGCAATACTCTTACATGTTCAACCTGTGCTGTTTGATGCATTCCTGGGGTTTTTAGTGCTGAGGCTTCTGCACTGCACTTGATTTTTTTTGCTACTGTGAGTGTAGAAATCGCTCTATGCCTTTTCCATGATGGATTTCTCCTTGTGTGGTGTTGAATCGGATCACTTGCGCTTTGATTCTGAAGGTCTGACGCTAAATCTTAATGTTTACCACAAATCTTTCAAAGGAGTTTGAAATTTTGGTGAAATAGGTGTATTGTCTTTGTTGCTGAAAACTACATGAGAAGATGGATACCACTCTCAGGTCTGTACAATAAAGTAAAACCATGTAGCTGAGCCAGTGGCTGGTTAGCTTAGCTTAGCATAAAAAATAGAAACAGGGGCAAACAGCTCGCCTGGTTCTAGTTAAAAGTAATAAAATCTGCCGAAAAGAACCTCTATCACTATGAACAACATCTTTGTTTAATTCCTACAAAAATCAGAATTTAGTCTTGTGCAAAGCCAAGCTAAGCTAACGGACTTTTGGTGCTAGCGCACTGTACAGACACAAGTGTTAGCCATTGTCTCATCTTACTCTCTCAACAAAGTGGATAAGCATATTTCCCAAAATGTCAAACTATTCCTTTACAGCGATTAAACACTTTTTGCTATCACATAACTGCTGGAAATATCAGGACAAAAGGTAACAACACCTACGTCCACAGGAATAAGACAAATATTCACTGCAACTAAATTAAACCCAGAATGCACCAGTACACGTTTAAAAAGTGATCTCTGGGAGATGCTTCAGTCAACATGCAGTAAAAAGTGAGACTTCACAACCGGCTTCATCTGTAGCATCACTGTCAGTTGCAAACAACACAGCGGGCAGTTAAATCTAAAATTTCAATTTGAAATCTTTTTTTTTTCTTCTTGTGTACAAATGCTGGAGAGAGCAGTGGTCCAACGCCAAGTGGAAAACAACCATTTTGCTTTTGAACACCCCACCCCGAGCCCCGCTATCCCACCCCAACCAACCGCCCTCCCCTCTGAAAAACATGCCACAATGACACTGTTGTTTCACAAGGAGAGGTCAAAATGTCACAGACACAGAGAACACATCTTAATACTGTTGGGTAAACTCGGCCATGTCGAGGCACGGGTCCCTGATACAAAAAACCAAAACAAAACAAAACAAAAAAAAAACAAAACGCTGAAGTGCAAGTTAAAAACAAAGACTTAACTGCAGTGAGATCTCTGAACGCACACAGAGCAAGAAAAGTGTAGCTTGCATTTGTTTTTTAAAAAAGCACTGAAGTCCTGGCAGTTTTGTGAGGGGTTTTAGGGAAGGCTTGCCGGCTTCCTGTGGGATGTCACATGACTTCCTGTTCAGCTCCAGTATTCCTCCTCTTTCAGCCGTGCCTTTTGCTCGTCTTACCAACTGTTTGCCTCCCCCTCCTCCTCAGTTTGGGCCCGTCGCTGAGCCAGAACGGTCAAAAAGAACACAAGAACCGAAAGTTGGTTTCATGTTCTCCCAGTTTGATCAGACTCTATGTGTGCTTCTTTAACCCTCAGCTTAAAACTGTTACCACAATCTGCTAACAGTCCTGCTTTTGGTCCCCCGGTGTAACCCTCCTGAGGGCAGCAGGGCCTCTAGAAGAAGAGTTGACAGAAATGTTTAGGGAAAATCATGACGAGGAATCCAGAGGAACCGTTTTTTTCCCCACCAAGACCATCCAGTGTCCCAGTCTTTCTAAACCTGGAAATGTTGTAGAGTTCAGTCACGGAAGCTCGAAGAAAAACAAAACATTAATTCCAAATATATAGAGATATACATATTTATAAAAAAAAAAAAAACTGAAGAAACTGAAGCGTTTGGTCTCCAAGCACGACAACAAGAACAACAACTTGGATCACAGCGTCGACATCAACATCAGTGGAATTCTAACTCAAACGAAGCCGGAGAAGCGTAGTCAGAAGACAAACAACAGTAACCTTTCTGACTGCTCAACTGTGCATGGCGTCTCGAGTTCACATCATGTACACACACATGCACACGCACACACACGGTGTGTTAAATACAGACAGTAGTAGTTTAGCAGCAAAAAATTCAACCTCACCCCCCCCAATAAATAAACACAGTCTCCAAATAGATTCAACCCAGAGTCACTCGCTCAGAGGGGTGTGTGTGCGTGTTTGTGTGTGTGTGTGTGTGTGTGTGTGTGTGTGCAGGTAAGAGGGATGGGGGGGTTCACTCCGACGGGAGGTGGGCTCATGCGAGAGGTTGGTGGGAAGTGATGATGAAGTTGGGAAGTCGACTATCCTCTTCATCACACTTTAGAAGAGCATGCTCTGCCTCCTGTTGATCTTTCCGTTACCTGGAAGAAAAGGAAAAACTCTGAAAATATAATACCCACAATGCCTTTGCTTTTAGATGCTATATGTGGCCTTCAGCAATAGATAATTACTTTTAGACAGTTTAAAGAGCGCCATCAGTGTTACATACAGTAGATGTCAGTCAGCACGCTTCCAGTTTAGAGAAGCAGGCTGGAGTCCAACATGGAAGCTAAGCAATGTACTGCTGTGGAGGGGTCAGCAACAAAATGTACTTTAGCCATCTAAAAAAAAGCCATAATCAGTGTAAGTCATATTAAGAATGTTTTCACTGCATTACATTAATGTTAGAAAGTGATTTCTAACGGTGAAGTGAAGCCGTTAGGTCATTTTCTTCAAAGCCAAACTCCATTGAGAAAAACAGTGATTTAACACAGCTGAACACAGGAGCTGACAGTCTACCGCTGCCTTATTAAGTTAGTTAGTTAGTGTTGTTGTGTGAATTGGGCATTTTAAAGAGTCACTTTAGATTCAACAAAGTCACACAATCACACAAACTGACTAATTGATCAAGGCAGCTGTAGACTAGCAGCTCCCACATTCAGCAAGTTAAAATCACTGTTTTTGTCGATGGAGTCTGGCGGCTTTGATGAGAGCATAGATGTGAAAATGAAGCCATAAAAACGTGCCCTGTCAGAATGGGCTGTCCGACAGAAAGGTGAAATACTCGGTGAAAACACTCTCAGTATAGCGTACGCTTAAACTGATGACTAACTTTTATGGACTTTTATTCGGGTGGCTAAAGTACATTTTATTGCTGACCCCCATCCACAGCATTGCTCAACTTCCTTGTTGGACTTCAGCCAGCTTCTTCAGTCTGCTGGCTGTACATAATACCCTGACTATGAACAAGTACCTAATACAACCACATTTAAAAACATCTAAACTATCCCTTTAATGTCTTCTGCAGTTCTGAGGGGGGGCTTTCTAAGGTTAAAAATAACAAAAGAAAAACCCTGATGATGTCGTCAGGGTTATGTGGGACTGAAGGAAAAGTCTGCATTAGTGGTTTGCAAGAAGTGGGCATTTAGGAGGCAGGGAGGGTCTAATTAAAGATGCTATTCCTGCTGCATTATGGGAAATGTATGTTTTGTAGCTTGACATATTCTAGGAACTGAAAGTCAGGATATTTCAGCCTCTGCTGCTTCAGTTTGAACCATTCTTTCATGAATCTGTCTCTTGTGAATCTCCCAAATCTATGAAGGTATGATCTTTAAAGGGGACCTACGATGCTTTTTTTTCAGGTTTATACTTATGATGTATTTTTCTGGAACACTTGTATTTAGGAACGGGAAGTAAGGTGAAATCTGGCTCCAAATTGTCTGACCCATCAGGATTGTGTGCCTCAGAGTTTATCAGTTCCTTTTATTAATGCATGTTTTCCTAACAGTTGCGCATTGCAAAACAATGATGTCAAACTCATGCGTCTACACTGCTGGAAACTAGAACGACTCATGACGGAAATAGGAAAAATGATTCTAAGTGTGGATTTATTTCACGAAGAAAAACATTGTAAAAAAATTCAAGGAAGGATGGAAACACCAGCAATTCCAGCTGTTTTCGACACAACATGGGCTTGAATTCCAGGAATGCCATGTATCTGACACTCTACACACAACTGAGCAGCACTTCCATTACAGAAGATAAATATCCTGTTAAATAACATTAGTGCTGCAGAGGCAGGCTCGGCAGGTTTTTTCTTTGACTAAGAAAACCTACATTAAACTGAATGTTGTGCAAATATTCTCTCATTTCATAGATTTTAGACAATAACAGACAGACTGAGTGACATGCATGCCTTTCTATAACAACTTCTACACTGAGTTGAGATAATAAAACCTGAGTAGGGCTACTTTTTCCAAATGGAAAATTGATGAGAAATCAATAAGGGAATTAAAAAAAAAACAATTGGACTGATGAGCAAAACCAATAATGGCATTGGTATCAATAAAATCTTATCAATTCCCATCCCCTGTATTCACCCTCTTTTTAAAGAGGGTTTTGTTTCAGCGTCTGTCTCTTTAAGCCTTCCTCCTGAAGAAACCCATTCTACTGTGACTGGTCAGCATTTCTGAGTCTTCCATATCTTGGCATCTATGCACCATTAGTGCAGCCAGGCAAATGACCGTGATAGAGAGTAGTGGCACTTTCTACAGATAAAAGCTTCTAAACTTATCCGGGGATGTTTCAGCAGGAATATGATCAATAATCGGGGAGAAAATAACAAAATTGGCGACCAAGATTACACGTTTCTCTGACATTAGCATGTAGCTACATGTAGCAGTGTAGGTGACATAATGTAAACACTTGCAGTAGTGTGCCTGGAGCAGATGACCATTTTAAGAAATCTGTCACAAGCTGACATCAACTTGAAAACTGAAATTAGAAAAATTGTTGGAAACAGTATGTAGACCAGTTTGAGTTCTTAGCTCACAGGGATTACTTTTACAAATGTGTGCCGCATTATTAGAAATTTTGGCCACATTTGATATGAATATCTGACATTATAACATTATATATAGATGACAGAAAATAGGAAAAGGCATTATAGGTCACCTGTAATCACTGAAGTATCATTAACTGCCACAATCATATAAGAGAGAGGCCTGTCAGTCTTTTTAAGTTATGGGCCTTTTCCAGTGTCATTTTTGGCTGCACCAAGCCAAGCTATTCCATGCCGATTTGCATTTCCTTTGTCAGTTTTAACATGCTAAGCCATGCCAAGTGGTGCCTGAGATGGACCTTCTCTGGAGTAGGTCAAAAAGCTTACTGACCACCTCCATTCAGGTAGTGGTAATGTCTTACTACCAGAAGCCAACACCCTACCCCCTCGAGATTCAACTCACCTTTGTCTGCAGGAGACCAGAGAGAAAGGTGTTTTCAAAAGTTTCTGTGTCTTTAGACCTCAGTACTTTTGTAGCTTCTAAGTGAATCTCTGTGGTTTGGAGTTTAGTTTCTCTTCTGTGTCCCTGTTTGTACATTAGATAGCTGCTTCATTTTACTGTTTCATGTTCACTATCAGCCATATGAGTCGCATTAAGTTACTGCTGAAAACCCAACATTTCCTTATTTTGTGGCTTCACAATAAAAGCTTTTACACAACAAAGAAACAATGTTTATTGTGAAGAATCTATAGGATATTAAATGTGTTTATCACAGAATTAGTGGAACTTTGCAAGCAGCTTTTCTTCAATACTAATACCACAAGGAGGATGCGTAAAAGCAGAAAGTGCCACAGTGAGATGTTCGATGATGAGCTGCAGACAACAGGCTCTTACTGCACCTCTGCAAACAGCTCACCTGGAACAGGTAAACTTCTTTTAACTGACATGCTGTGTGATGGGAAAACACTTGGAACAAAAATAGCGGGGGACTTAAACCATGGATCAGTCTGCTGCTTTTAAACTTCGTCGTTCATACCATCAAGTGGGTAATTTTGTTGTAATGGTGAGGCATATCTCTGCTGCACTGGGCTGATGTGGGAAGTCAAACCAGACCAAGCTAAGCCAGCCTATGACTGTTGAAAAGGGACTTTTTTACCTGCTTTCTTATAATTGCCACATGAGTAAGTAGGAAAAGTTAAATTTTTTGTCTCATGATCCATGAAGGTTGAACACCGAAGCATGTGGATGTGTTTCCCACCCACCTGACTCTGGATACAAGGAGTTCCTGTAGCCAGGATCCCTCTGTAGCTGCACTTCTTTTAATGTGAATATTGAAACACCTGTAACACAGAGGAGAGCTTCAGTTTACAGCAAAACAGCAGGAAAGAAGAAAAAAGACAGACAGATTGCAGCTTTATTTAGATGTGTGTGTGTTTGTGTGTGTGCTCACTCTCAGGCAGTGTGTGAACTCTCATCCCGAGCTGCCTGAAATGGGAATGTTTCATCGCCTCTTCAGCTGAGGTCCTCTTCTTAGACTCGTACTGTGCGGGCAGAAACAGGAAATATCAACTATCCTGTGATTTTAGCAGATTAAGCTGTGGCTGTTGTGTCTGTTATCAGTGATTCACTCTGATAAACTGAGATGAACTAAAACATATTTGAAAAAAAGCAACCCTGATGGTGCTACGCCTCCTGCTGTCTACAGCTGGTACTAACAGAATTCATTTCCAAAGTAAAATCTGATGATGGGAAAGAGAGAATGGATTATAATATTAATGGGTGGTATTATTTAAGTATTCATTATCTTGTGATGATGTCATCACATTTAGTCCATGTGCTGACATCTGTACCAGCTGCATTTACTAAATGAAGATTGTGAGAAGTAGTTAAAAGCTCAAACAGGAAGTTAATAAACCACTGGGCTCACCACACAGCTCCTGACGGTCAACAATGATCATTCAAGCACTTCAGTCCAGCATGTTTACTGATAATACAACTAATAACGGCAAGAATAATTATAGCTGCAGCCTGGCAGAAAGTCTGGGCCGGACACTTTGAGGAGGACGAACAGGAAGGAGGAAGAGGGAATGAGCTCAAGTAGGCATTAGCATGTTCATTTTGTATCACCCAAGGCTCAAACTCACAACCATAGACACCAAGGGCAAGTCATGAGCTTGTTGAGCTACCTGCCAAATGAGAAGCTAAGGATTGGCTTCACACTATGATTTCAACAATCACCAGGGTTGTGTTTAAAGGCAGATTTCAGTTATCAAGGCAAAATTCTGAAAATATTTGTAATCCATCTGAACAACATAGAGAGATGTCTGTAATTTATTTGTACAAATTGCTGCATAAGTGACAAACTGATGTTTAAAGATGCTCTCACTTCCATTGACTGCAATAGTTCACAAGGAGAGAATTCAAAATATTGCCGAAAATTCAGTTTTTGAGATACAGTTCTGAAATTTAACATACTACTTCTCCCATAATGTGAAACTTTGGCCCTGTTTCCTGAATACTGGAGATTTACTTCAAGTAATTTGCAGTAGCTGTTTCCATTACGGCTTACACTGAAACATTTCAATGCACTGTGGGCTCAGTCTTTGATATTTAAAGAATCTGTCTCGTTTATTTGTGGAGGACAGTCTGAAGGTGCTGTGTAGCAAGTCTGATATGCAAATAATGTAGGAGGAGGCAAGTTTAATTACTTTTACTATTTTTGACAAAGACAGTGACAGACCTAATAATTCCTGCCAGCTTGAAGCGTATGAACATTTCTGCTCAGTTGGGGCTACATTTTGGTGATAGCTGCAAAGTCGTAGCACGTACAACTGAATTGTTATGATTTTTCAGAGTTTTAAACTTAAGACGATTACTATAGCGCCACAATTTTTATCAAGGAACTTTGGCATAGGACTGCACGCATGAGCAAAGTTTAGTTTATTTTTAGGCATGGACATCAGCACTCCTGGCCACTAATGACTTGCTTTGGCTGATTTTTATGTATGGTTATATTAGACATCTTAAAATTATACAAAAAAGTGAGTAAAAATAAAATAATTCTGCATCTGAAGAACTGTTAATTAAACTGTTTTCAAAATTAACAGGTTATTAGTTTAATATCTGGTGTGTTTTATAAGTTATTATAAAAAAAAAGGAGGGAAAAAAAACATCAGGTGTGAAGTGAGCTAAATAAATCAGTTTGGAGTGATTCTTGCATTCTGGGCATTATGCAGGACATAAACACTCACTCTGAGGAAAGCCAGCAACAGCTCGATGCCTTCGCCGTCCAGCCTGGAGGAGACAAAAAAGGAAGAGTGACAGTAAGCCTGCAGCATGGGCTGATGGGAATGTGGGGGCTCATGGGAGGAAGGAAGCAGACGGCTCTCTATGAAATTTTCCACAGGATTTCCTGTCCTCAGCACACACACGTGAATGCACACCATTACTGTATACATGCAGAGGAGCAGGGAGAAAAAATGAAGGCATGGGTGCCTAAACCCCCCCCCCCCAAATGTACACACAAGATGGAGCAGGCCCACACACACACAGACGACAGTACCTGGGCGCGTGGTTGATTAACGGCTGTGGTTTGTATTTGGGGAAGTTGTAGGATTTAAACTCTTCGATGGAGGAGATTCCCGGCCAGTTCTCCTCTGTGGGTGTGCCTGAAGCAAAGAATCACAGCCTCTCAGATATATAGCATTATACCAGGTTAAGTTAAATATATGTGGTGAGACATTTGGGTTACTATGTTGATCTGGCCTGACAGGAGTCACTCACCCAATAACCTGAAGATGAGGTGGAGCTCGTCCTCAACGGTGGAGCCGGGGAACAGCGGCCGACCTGCAGCCATCTCATAGAATATACAACCAACACCCCTGCAGACACACAACCACAGGAGAGTAGTGTCATTCTAGGGCTGCAACTAATGACTGTGTTCATGATTGATTATCTTTTAAAAATTATTATCAGATTAAATGTTTGGTCTATAAAATACATGCATATTTCACAAGATGTAGGTCAAAAATACTCTGTGTTTTTACTTGATGAATGGCTCAAACTCTTAGATGAATATTAAAATGATTATTTGTAATTGATCAATACAGTAATTCATGGACTAATCATGAATTAGTAGTGTGACTAGGAGGGTTTTAGTGAGGTTTGTACCACATGTCGATCTGCGTTGAATACTCAGATGATCCCAGTAGAACATCAGGGGGCCGATACCAAAGAGTCACCACCTCGTTGGAGTAGGTTTTAGTTGGCACAGACTTGGCCCTTGCCAGACCTGCCAGCCCACCAAAGACACAAACAGACATTAGGATTGTTTACACAACAGAGTAACATTTCAGGAGTTACAACAAGGACAACGGGAATACTCCATCCCCAATCCCCAAAAGAAAAATGGCTGCTGCTGTGGTTCCTCTTACCGAAATCAGCCAGTTTGAGTTCTCCTCTCTCATTGATAAGAAGGTTCTGGGGCTTCAGGTCCCTGTGGAGAACTTTCCTCTTATGACAGTATGACAGCCCTCGCAAAATCTGGAACAGGAAGATCTGGAAAGATATGTGCAAAAACACTCACTGTGATTAATGTGTCTTTTCACATGCAAAAACCTTTTAAAAATCTTCTATTAGGATCAACTTGGCCGAAGGGCCATTAAGTGGTTCAACTTTATATTGAACATTTGGTCCTGCCAAAACACATTGCAGTCTCATCTTTATTAAACAGACAGATAGGAGGAAACGAAGGGTTGAAGTAGGGTTTGAGCTAACCACAGTGTCCTCAGTGTGAGGTTCATGTGTCAAAAAATGACGTCATCTTGTCTTTCGCGTCAAGCACAAAGCTCTGAAAGTTGCCACAATGCTTGGTTGTGTAGTTCAAAATGTAAAGGGAAGACTGGCCGAGCACGTTCACCTGTGCAGACATCTCTACAATTCTTCACTGAGTGCAAAGACAGCCAAATGGCTTTAAATTTTTTGTTGAGAAATAGCCACCACACTAGGGAAAGAAGATGCTTTTTGCTGCAGGGTGTAGAAGAACATGCGAGATTGCTGTAAAAGCTAAAAAAAAAAAAAAAAAAAAAAAAAGTCTAATTTCAAGAGTGGCAACCTGTTGGGAAAAAAGCAATATAAAATTGGACTTAGAGGTAGGCGACAGTAATAATTACAGTAGCCAAATGCAATGTTTCGTGGTACATCGGTGGTAACTACTACTGCCTAGCAGCCTATTTTTTCAGTAATGTTCTTCTGGTAACACTCATTGACTTCTTGCTTATCAACCGAATATTGTGTTTGTATGCCCACTTGCATTCTGGCAGCTAACAAAGCATTGAGCATGAACACCTCTGTGCATGCTTGTAGCCGCATATCTACGGAGCCCTGCGTCATGAGGTCTCACACAAGTATAAAACCTTTCCACAGCATGGGGAAAATAATACTCCAAAGGAAAAAGAGAATAAATAGACAATCAGGAATAGTTTGATATGTCCTCACCTTTACATTGTGCATGCTCATTATGTTTCCACAGTCATCCATGTACTGCTTCAGGTCCTTATCCTGCAGGGAGAGATGACACCATAAGACAGGAAGTAGATCCAATTACATCCAGAGATCACGTACATTTTACTTTGTCTTTCATCATCTGCTACTTCACACATCCTGTTGATGCAGCAATAATCTATTTTAATACTTCTGTTCATTTCCTACATTCCCTTCATGTCACCGGCATCAGTGTTTCCATCTATGTGCTACAGAGATATTTGCTCGCTTGTCGTTCCTGACTGTAAAATAATGATGACAACATGATACTGTTCTTACGCAATTTGGCAAAACACAACACAACAAATCATCATGCATTGAGAACATGGGGAGGCAGTGAAGCTTACCAGGTACTCAAATACGAGCGTGAGGCTCTTGTCAGTGTGGACGATGTCGTGAAGTGTCACGATGTTGGCGTGTTTAAGGTCCTTCAGTAACGACACTAGAAAGACAAAGAATTGAATTGATTGTGCAGGATAAATTACAGTTCAACCTCCAGTCTGTGAACATTGTGACAAAAAAAAATGTGATTTCCATAACAATGCTTCATGTGGCATTGACCTGATGAAGTTTGTCAGTAAAAGGTGTAAAACGAAGAGACAAAAGCCGATTACCTTCTCTGATGGCGGTACACGGTGCTCCCTCCTCATGCTCCAGACGGATCTCCTTCAGTGCCACCAGGTTGTCTGTCAGCTTACTGCGTCCTTTAAATACTGTAGCGTAGGTTCCCTGAATGCAATGCACAACGCTGAATTAACATAAACTGTAAAACATATTTCCTTCATTAACAGTGGCAGGTAAGATTTCAGGAATTCCTCACCTCTCCCAGTTTGTCCAATTTAATGTACGTCTCCAATTTGCCAAAACCAATCTCCGACTGTGGAAAAGACAGAAGACAGAGTCAGAATTCAACACAGATTATGTCCCATTTTGGACTCTGCTCATTTTAAGAGACTTACAGGATTTTTTCATTTGGGAAGTAAAGTTGCTCGAAACCTTCAGTGATTCCTTCATATAATCTCAAAACATAATGCAGGGGTGTTTTATTTTGGTTCACTTTCTGTTGCTGTTGTTGTAGAAATCGTTCTCTGTGGCTGATGGATTTCTCTGTGTCAAAGTGTTAAAAGATGGTGCAAAAAGCAACTTCAGGCTCCTTCACTCTTTGACGGACTGACATCAAATTCTGACATGTATAGTCAATGTTTCAGATCAGAGTCCTAAGTGCCATATCATAGGCAACTGGACTTGCTTGAGTTTCTTGAAGACGTTTCATCTCTCATCAAAGAGGCCTCTTCAGTTCAATACTGAAGAGGCCTCTTTGATGAGTGGTGAAATGATATAGCACTTAGCATTACCATGACCTGCATGACTGAGAATCTTCACCAACATTTTAGATCAGATATTTTAAAACAGTTTGGCTCATGAGGTACTTTCAATCCCTTGGCATCAAACTGCAGCAATTTGCTTCAAAAATCACACTTCTTCTTGTAATCATAAGTCAGACAAATCTAAATACAGTGGCATGGTACCCAAATTTTTAGATTTAGTTCGACATCCATTTTTGGAAGATATCTTCATGAATATGCATCCATAAATCTGCTCAGAAATCATACATAAAAAGATGCTCCTTAAAACTCCAAAACAAGCCTGACAATCATCATGTTTTAAAGTAATCCAGTGATAGGTGTCAATACATCTGTGTGCACACTGCTAACAAGGTTCAAGGTTCCTTTATTGTCATTGTACAGTAAGGCATACAATACAACGAAATTTCAGGAACAGGAACTGCTAATGGATAATTTGGCATAATGTAGTTGTTTAATTTTGTCTGAGTGGGGGCCCACACTGTCAGACTTCGAATCCCTGAATTAGATCAATGAAACATTTTCTACTACCATTCTCCATTGTAGCTGCTGGGAAAATATCTTAAAAGGAATACTTCATCCCCTAAAATAAACATTTGTGTATCAATTACTCACCCTGTTACATAAAAGTTGTGAAGAAAACTGTTTTTCTCACATGCCTCTGGTGAATGAGGAATCCAAAAACGGATTCAACTATATCAAAACATCCATTTACAAACTCTGACACAGCTCATGCTGTACAATCCTAGTCTCAACTAATGCTTTAAAACACCGAAGTCGCACAATGACACAAACTAACTGATCGAAGTAGTAGTAGACCAGCAGCTTATGTGTTCATCAAGGTAAAGTTATTGTTTTTGTTCTTTTTTTATTTAAGTTTCAGTTCAGTTCCCTGTCGTTAAATGTTGTCTGTTCATGAAGTACTGAGCATACCACTGCATAAATGAGACTTGGATTATACTGCACAAGTTGTTTGAGTTTGTAAACAGATGTTTTGACATAGTTTTGCTGATGTTAAACGTGGACCCCTATGACTTCAATTCATTAAGAATTTTGTCTGTTCACTTTGGAGGCATGTGAGAAAAACAAAGTTTTCTTCACGTATTCAGCTTAACACAGGGTGAGTAAATCATATACTAACGGTCATTTCAGGGGTGAATTATTCCTTTAAGGTAGAATCTGACTGGCAGGACCCAAAGCACCATAAGGAGAGTAACATCCAAGTACTAAAAGAATAAGAAACGCAGCATTTTTACCTTCCAAAAGAAACAAAATTACTGTCCATTTTCCTTGAGCAATAACTTTTAGAAGCTTGTGTGTCACTGTTTGCCGACTTCTGACATACATACACCTCCATGTTGGAGGCTCAGGCTCAGTTTTATGATCTAATTTGATGGCAGGAGGTGAGCGCTTGCGACTCCAGATTAATCCATCCTGGTCTCACACCGGGCCAGTTGCCATGGTAACCTGCACAGAGGGAGTCTGCACTGTGAAGCAATAAAAAAGGTAGCACACACAGACACTGACCAGCGAGGCTCTGCGGGAGCGTCGGCTGAGTGGTTGATCGAAGGGTGGGCTGCTGAGCTGCAGCTTCTCCAGGTAACCGTCGGGAATTCGGATGTCAGCGGGAAGTGACAAGCGCTTGTTGAGGTCCTAAAACACACAGACACACACAAAAGGAATTTTTAAATGTTTTAAATTGAAACTAGCTTTTGATTTAACACTCCTGTGGTGGCGCTGAAGTTTAGGGAAGGTGTTTTGCTCCTATGTAAAAGAGGCTGAATATGTAAAGCTTAAAACCTCTATAGACTGAAATCTAGCTATTCATACTTACTAAATTTCACACTGTAACCACATTACCTTTTATGCAACCTGATCACATGACAGCACACCATGAGAACATATATACATACACACATGCCTAGTGTCTATATGTAGTGTGGGACATGTTCCAACAGCAAGCAGCACAAAACAATGTAGGCTACTGAGTACACCCAACCACCCACCCACCCACACACACCCACACACACACACACACACACACACACACACACACACACACATACATACATACATACATACACACACACACACACACACACACACACACACAATGTCTGAAATAACTCGCTCTCATCTCCACCTACTCCAAGCGAGAGAAGACAGACATCAGGTCGATCAACATGTTATGGAGGGTAAAAATAAAAGGCGGCGTGTTGAAGCGTGACTGCCGCTGAACAGCAAAACCTTTATGAGCGAAAATCAGATTGTGAATATGAAAACACACACCGGCAAACAAAACAGCGAGAAAACCAGGCTAGAATAAAAACAAATCATACATATGTTTATTAATGTTCACACGCTCATATTCTCAGTCTGTATTCACACTGCAGGCTGTCATTGTCAATACAACTGGGCTTGCATCTTATTGTTGTGGCTGACTGATCGTATCTATTCTGGGATCAACACAAGACCACATCTGATAGCGATAAACTGACATAATACTGCTGACTGATGTGAGAAAAACAAGGGTGAGTGGAGTAAAAATATAGTGAGAGGAGACATCACATCTGTTTGCTTCTCATGTGCGCTCTTCAAGTTTGGCCTCTCCACAAATATCATCAACTCATCTGCTCTCATTTCATAACTGCAGCAGCGCTTTGTCCTTTATGACAATGCTGCTCAGAGTTGATGTATTATGACAACTGAGAGTTCAAAATAAAATCTCCGGCTATGTGGAAAGCATATTGGTATTTTGAAGAGGGGAAGTATTACATAATGCGACTCAGTGCAGTTTTCTCTCTGATGTAAACTGGTGTCTTAAAACTGAAATGTCAGTCTGCAACAGCTTTTGTCTGTCGTCTTAGCATTTCATCTATTTTTATTTAATGTGCTTTAGATTTGAAGCACTTTGTCAGACTGATTGTTGCAAGTGTTAACAACTGCATATAGTGCTGCAAGAATTGATCAATCAGTCGATCAACAAAAAATTAACTGGAAACAAATTTCATTGTACAAGTTATCAAGAAAAAAATGTTCATGTTTACTTTGGGTGCAGCTTCTCAAACGTTAAGATCTGCTGCTTGTCACCATTTTACATAATTTAAAATGTGATATCTTTGGGTGTTGGACTGTTGACCAAACTAAACTGGAGGACAGAAATGAAAATATGTGTTTGCTGCAGCTGTACTTGCATACTTAATCTGCGTTTTAATACATCAATCTGGTGCAACATATTGATTCAAAAAGCAACAATCCACTGTCATTGATGCATGCCTTTATTTTGAAATTCCCATGGCACATATGTATCAGCATTTCTGCTCAAGTGCACCTCCTTTCTAAACAATCAAACAGTTGTGATGAAACTTCACACCCCATCTATCTAGGGATCAGAGCAAATTTGAGGGAATTCTCTCAAGGCGTTCTTGAGATATCGTGCTCACAAGAATGGAATGGACATTCAAACTGACAGACAACCATGGGCACTGACCATCGTTATTGCAGCGCAGAGGTATAAAAATCAATGCAGGCTTCAACATTAATTTTTATTTCGATATGTTTGATCAAGCAAGTGAGTCAGAAACCTAAACAAACTGTGTTAAACTTGACATGCCTTTGAAAATTGACCCCATTTTATTCACCTTGTTATCCACCTAATAGTTGGTATTTCTGCCACATCCTCTAACGCCATGCAACTAAACTCCTGTTTCCAGGATAACCGAAATGGTCACTTGCTCCTCAGCTCATACACCTTGTCTTTACCCACTGTCATTTTTTTTTTTTTTTCTATTTACAAGTGCCTGATCAGTGCTGTGCATGTGCAACTCTCAACAGTGATGACAAGGAAGAGAGCTGGCTCACTCCTCACCTCCACGATCAACTCAGTTTAATTCTTTTTACCACTTGCCCAATTGGGAAACAGATTTGCTAAATTTACCAGCCTGACTTGGCGTTTTACTTGCCCCAGGCAATCAGGCAATCCTTTTTGGTAAGCCGTGATATGGATAGGCCTACGACAATGGATATGGTGCAACGTGGACTTCATAAGGTCCTACTTTGAAGATGTGTCGGTTTTAAATACTATGTTCTTTCCGCTAAGTTTGTAATAACATATTCTCCATATAACATTCATGCCACCCTTCAGCATTTCATTGGCTCTATGATATAATGTTTGAGTCAGAGTTACTGTGCTTCCTTTACATAAAAAAAGTGACACTTCTGAGGTGACTAAGTGTGAAGGCACCACAATACTTAACAGTAGGTGAGAGTACACTGTGTCCTTAACCTCCTTACTGACACAATATGGCCTAATTAAAACCTCAGCCAGTATCATAAGAACCACAAGAAAAGCAGCGCACTACAGCTTACCTGTGTGTGTGTGTGTGTGTGTGTGTGCGCGCGCGCACGCACAAGGTGGACTGATTATCACTAGATCCTTGAGCTCTTCTTGTTAAGTGCACCTACAAATGAGATAAACACTCAAAACAGGCGAAAAATAGGTCACCATGTGTGAGAGCGAGAGACGCAACATCAAAGATGTTTTTAAGGTTGGTTTTGGTTGCTTGGGTCACATACGCTCCTCTGCCAGCAGGGGGCAGGAGGCCTCCAGGCTGACACACTCATCCTTTTCAGAATAAAACTGCCCCCCCAGGTTCAATATTTATAGGGACCAAGATGATTTATTTGGAATGTCTGCATGTAATGTGGCCAATATTTTGCATCATTTTATTCGCAGAGCAGAGGTTTACCACCTTTTCCAGCCTGTAACGGCGAGTGTGAAACAATATTAACAAATGCCTGAGAAATCAACGGTGGCGCGCAGCAAGAATGTCTCAGAAAATTCGAAAACCGCAGTGAAATTAGAAACCAGCAGGCAAAAAAAAAGTCCCCTGATAATCATGAGCAGTTTTTGCCCATTTATCTTGTTCACATTTTATTTGCTGAGCTTGTGTAAGTGACTGTGTCTAGCGCACCCTGAGGGCCACAGAAGCCAATTTATCATCTTTGACCCAGTGAGTATCTAAAAAGCTTGTTCTGGTTGATGAAATAGCTTCCAGTTAGAGGAGAGGTGTGTCTGCAGGCTGGAAATATGAACAAAGCATGGAAATGACTAACTGGGGGGGAAGGAGTCCTCTGTAACAACTGTGCCCTATTTCAAGTAGCACTATATCACTAAAAATACTAAAAAATGAATATTTGCTTGGCTGTGAGCAAGTGTATTACAACGTTTTATTTAAAGAGGGCAGAAAAGACTCTGGAATATAAATACTTTTTCTAGCTTTATTTGAAATCTTATCAAAGATGGAGTGATGTTCAGGGGTCGGGCAGGTGTTTAATTGCCAACATTAGTTCATTATATATATCATTGCAAGGAGAACAAAGGAGATTCCTCTCCCAGCATGCTCTCCAGCTGCGCTGAAGTGCGTGACATATAGATAGTCACTGTGGTTACAGCGCAGATTATCACTGCATCTCTTTACCAGCCACTGCTGTGGTCCTCAGGGAGCGGGACTGCTATCAGTATCATGACACTCAGACACCGAGAGCCCATTAGGAGCCAAACAATCCTCCCCCCCAAAACGCCCCCCTCTCCAATCAGGTGTCCCATGTGGCCGAGGAGGAGGTGAAGAGCAGAGCAGGAGTGTGGAATGTTGCCATGTAAGCCTTTTTTTTTTTGTGCAGTTATCGTGTAGAGTGTGCATGTGAGTGGGTCTCACCTCCATAGAGATCCGCCGGTGGATGCGGTTCCTCAGACAGACGCCGGTTGGAGACTGTACCTCGTCTGAGGACGTTCCCGACGCCTGGTCGCTCTCCCCATCTGAGCCCATCTTCAAGTTCTCATGCACAATATCTACAAACATAATAAAATACATTAAAAGACACATAAATATATGGAAAAAAGCTACATGATACTGAATATTTTTTAAAAAGGTTCAAAGTAAAGCTGCAATAAATTATGAATTAGTTTTCAACTATTACATTTGTCTCCTCCTACTTTGATAATTGATTAATCAGTTTTAGTTTGTTTTTAAGAACTTATTCAAAATTCTCTAATTTCAGGTCCTCAAATGTGAATATCTTCTGATATTGTGATATTCTGATGTTTCCTGACTCTTCTGTGAACCCTATAAACTGAATATCTTTGGGTTGTGGACAAAACAAGACACTTGAGAATGTCATCTTAGGCTTTGGGAAAAACTGATTGACATTTTTCACCATTTTCTCACATTTTATACACCAAACAACTAATCAACAAATCAATTAATGGAGAAAATAATAATTAGTTGCAGCCTTTGTGCAAAGTGGCATTGGGTAAATGAGACTAAAGTTGTCCGTGGTCACCTGGTCCAGTCAGTCTAATTTGATGGATAGCTTGCAGTTGAAAACACTTTACCTTAAGTCCCCCATTTATACTTTTATACATAGTTATAACTCACTATAAAGTAGTTGTAAGAAAACAACTTATTTCATAATGTCACAACTGTGTTTTACTTTAATGTAATGCATTATCTGATTACACAGTAGCCTCTTCTGGTGGGTGCACACAGGAGAACTTTTAGTTTCTAACAAATACATTAATAAACACTTATGTATACTTAAAACCACAAAACCATAAGGAGATTTAAAGTTAAGTTACCCTAATATTACATGTACAGGGGCACTGATCAGGGCTGCAACTACTGATTATTTTTTAGATTAATCGTTCCATCATTTGGTCTATAAAATGTCCAATAAAGTGAATAATTCCAAATCAAAAACACTTTCATCTTAACAGCAGTCCAAACAAAAAGATTTTACATTTTCAATCGTATAAAAAAGAAAAGCAGTAAATTCAGACATCTGAAAATCCAGCAGCAGAGTTTGTTTCAGAATTGTTTAAGCACTAGAATTGACTAACACTGTATTGGTTGAATTTGGGAAGTCTAACCTTTACTGTATTTAATACATTCTGACCGGATTTGACAACAGAGACATTATTGCTGTTATTCTATTATCAGTCAGTGTTATTACTGAATAGCTCCTTAACTGAGGGGTGGGTCCACTCAAAGTGAGGTGCAAAACAAAAGCTGTTTTAACAGCAGAAATTCTGACATGTCAAAAACAGGTGTCACTAACAACACTATGAATTGCCGCACTGCATTGCATTAACTGCCCGAGTAGAGGCATCATTTATGTTATTAGTTCCACCTGGGATTTGCCTGCTTTGACAAGTCGACACGTCTGCTGTGAAAAACTGGATTCATTCTGAAACGATGAAGGATTTAGAGTGCCCTAATGTTGCAAGGCTAGCTGGATTCAAGTTACCAAGGTTTATTCAGAGCAGCAAAATAAATGTTAAGTGGAAGATGGACAGACTTCTTCCTGATGGGGGTCCTCATCAGGAAAAAGAAAACTATTATTTTATTCTCAGGTTCACTGTCAATAAACTGTAGCAGGTGAGTTGTGCATCTTCTGACAAAAGTTTAATGTACATTTTTCATTAGCATAACAGCAACTAATGAGAAACCTAAGAGAAAATACGGCTGTATGATGCGTGGAAAATATGTGATATGTGATAAAGTTGAATATCGCAATAACAATATTACTTGCGATAAATAAACAGATATTAAATCGTATCCAATTTTGTCTTTCTGTTGCTTTTAGTATACGGCTAAAATACAACAAATTGCTTGTTAAATTTTAAAAGATGGAAGGAAATTACTTCCAACATTCTGAACACCGAACTGAACACAAAAGTCTACAATATAAAAAGAACGATACTTTATATTTCAAAGTGCACATTTTCTACTTAAACTTTCTTTCAACCAACTTTAAAACTCCCTGAGTATATCACACTCCTTTGCAATGTGTATATCATTCAAGTTGACATTGTGCTGGTAGTAAAAAATATATATATTTACTGTGCATACACTGTGCAGCCCTAAAAGGAAACATGTTGCTCCTCTTCTTCATGACAATGTTATTTTAATAAAAAAGAACTTGGAGTAGTAGTGGTGAGAGCAGCAGATATGTATTTGCAGTACTAGTAGTAGCTGTATATAAATCACATACTTGAGAATACTTCATCAGATTTTACAGCTGAATAGAAATATAAGCTCATCTATTGGCCCTCAAACTGCACAGCAACCTGTGAAGATGTTTTAAATATGCTGAAAACCCCATTTTTACCTCTACACAAACCCCACCTCCTACGTCTCTCTACCCTTCTCCCTCTGTCATCTCCTCTCACACCCTTGTAACCCCCGAGGCCAAAGATTAAACACTCCAACCAGCACCACTTCCTCCGGGGCAGTAAAACTACCACTACTACCATAGCACAGCAGGAGCAAACACACTGATGTACAAACCACATGCATCCCCCCTACTCCACACACACATACACACACATGCATGCACATGGTTAATGAGTAACCATGGTTGAGCAGCTCTCTGTCATCAGTGTGTCAGCGCTTCCGACCAAGCAGTCTGTCATCAAATGTGAAAGCACAGAGCAGAGAAATGAAAGAAGAAAGAGCTCTCTGTAAGGTCTCTGCTGCTGGAGATTAACTCTTAATTATTTCAAACACGATAATCCTGATTATTTCTCTAAATCATCACAACCAAAGATGATTAATTACAATTGTTAGTCTGGATATTAGGGAGTAATTATAAGTGCTTACTCTATTCATGCACCTTATTGACAAAATTCAATTCAGAAAGTCCTACATCATTACTCTGCGGTTCAGCCAAAACACCAAAGAACACTTTGCCCCATAATGTGAATCTGTCTGTGATTGTGTGGTTAAAAACCAGAATCTGATCTATTCTGCTCTGCATGTAAAATCTCTTTCCACAGACAGCTGAAGTGAATTTTCTCTGCTGCTTCTCCATTTGAACTTTGGTTTGGGTTACAGAGGAAGAACCTGATATACTACAGGAGGTCTTTTAGTGCAACAAAGCACATAACATTTGTTGGAATTCACCATAATAGCAAAGCCAACAAGACATGTCCTGTCTGTTTAAAAAACAAGGAGCAAGACAGGATATAGGAGAAAGTGAGGAGGGTACAAAGAACTAGAAAAGAGGGACGAAGAGGAAATTGTTGCAAGGTTTCCATCTGCTCCACATCCCTTCTTAACCTTTCCCTAGAAATATTCCTCAGTTCGTCGTCTGTTTTTCTCTCTTCCCTTCCTTTCCTTTCTCTCTCCTCTGCAGCCACCTACCTTCATCTATCTCCTCTGTCTCCCACAGCAGCCTCATTTATCAACCATGAATACACAGTTTTGTGCATAAACTACACGTGCACTCACTTCTACACTTCTGGTTGATTAATTTATTCTTGTGTTAGAGAGTGTGTGTGGATTCGGACTCACTTCTAAACATGTGCACCAACAATCCTACAGCGATACACAGGTGTATTAGCAGACAAGCTAATACCTACATTTCAGACACACAAACCACAAATCATTTCTTTCAGACTAAAATCATACCACTGTTCAAGCCCTGTTATCTAACTGCAAGCCAAGGAATCTCTGTATGCAAAGTGGCATGCAAAAGTGTGGGCACCCCTGGTCAAAAGTTTGTTTACTGTGAACAGTTAAGTAAGTAGAAGATGAACTGATCTCCAAAAGGCATGACGTTAAAGATGAAACATGCTTTTCAACATTTTAAGCAAGATTAGTGTATTAATATTGTTTTGTACAATTTTAAAGTGAAAAAAGGAAAGGAGCATCACGTAAAGCTTGTCAGGACTATGGCTTGTTCACAAGGAAAGGCCAGGTGATGCAAATTTCACAGCTTTATAAATACTCTGCTCATGAAACCTTGTCCCAACAATCGGCAGCCATGGGCTCCTCTAAACTGCTGCCAAGCACACTGAAAACTGATGCCAATAAAGCAGGAAGAGACTATAAGAAGATAGCAAAGTGTTTTCAGGTAGCCACTTCCTCAATTTGTAATGTAATTAAGAAATGGCAGTTAACAGAAACTACAGAGGTCAAGTTGAGGTCTGGAAGACCAAGAAAACTTTCCAAGAGAGCTGCTGCAGGATTGCCAGAAAGGCAAATCAAAACACCCATTTGACTGCAAAAGACCTGCAGAAAGATTTAGCAGACTCTGGATGATGTGACACAAACGCACATGATGTACACAATGAGCAAAGAAGAAAGAAGAAAAGAACACCTGTCCAGCTGTTAAACATGGGGTTGGATCAATCATGCTTTGGGCTTGTGCTGCAGCCAGTGACACGGGAAACACATCACGGGTAAAGGGAAGAATGGATTCAGTTAAATTTCAGCAAATTCTGGAGGCAAACATCACACAATGATCATGATCCTAAACACACCTCAAGAGGCGCAGGCTGAAGGTTTTGCCATGGCCCTCACAGTCCCACGACCTAAACATCATTATGTGGATAGACCTCATAAGAGCAGTGCATGCAAGACAGCCCAAGTATCTCACAGAGCTAGAGGCCTTTTGCAGGAAGAATGGGCAAAAATCCCCCCAACAAGAAGTGAAAGACTCTTAGCTGGTTACAAAAAGAGTTAAGAAGCTGTGGTGCTTCAAAGGGGGCACTACTAAGTGCTGACCATGCAGGTGCACTTCTTTTTTGTTATTTTCAAACTGTAAAAGACTGAAATTAAAAAATAATATTGCTTAAAATATTGATCTTTAAATTTCAGTTCACCGTCTACTTACTTAACTATTTGCAGTAAAAAAAAAATTGACCATGGGTGCCCAAACTTTTGCATGCCCATGTATGTGTATTTCAAGAACCATTCATCTGACCTACTTCACACACTTTACACAGGTATATTGCTGGGCACCCAAGGGCGTACAGTGTCGAATGTGGTGCAATTTGGACAGGGACCATGTTTAATATTAAGAAACTTTGCATTAACATTTGAAAAGCGATCTGTGGTTTTTTCTGTTTGTGTTTGCCATACAAACATATAACACTAATAACATTACCGTTTATTGCTTATTCAATCAATGCTCAACTCTGTAACCATGGTGGTGCAGACTGAGTCGAGCATGTCTTCACTTGTGCAAGTGTGCTATAATGTTACTAACTTAAAACACTGATATTCCTGATGGCAAAACACCTCTGCTAATTAAATGTATACTCTACTTTATAACTGCAATGGTTACGCAAGTAACTAATATGCCCATTTGGAATTAATACATCCACCAAGTGTGTTTCTCTGTGTTTTTGACCATGTGTTTTTCAGGGGCAGATTTGGCGATACAGAAGCTTTTAACGTTAGTGGCGGAGTCCGCCATTCCTACGCAGGATTTAAATTGCCTTCCCACACATAAGGGAATAACAAGAAACGATGCATATATACAACCCAGCAACTGCTTTTGATTTTATTTTACTTATTTCAGCCTCAGTGTTTACTGTTGACTCTTAAACTGCTGTATCAAAGCTGTATTATGCTATTGATAAGCACACCTGACACCCTACTGCTGCAGCTACACATTAAAAGCACAGAACTGGCAAAATGCGAGGTGGCTCTTATTGTGAACAAATCACAGGAATATATTTAAGTATAAGTATTTATCACAGAAGTTAGTGCTTACCACGATCATTCATCAAAAATACATCTACAAAACAAGACACTAGCCATTTTTGGCATTTTTTGTTTGCAGATCATTCTAAATTTTTTTAACAGAGTAATGTAAAAAGGAGTTGTTACAGTGAGCTTTCAGATGAAGATCTCCAACTCCTCAGCAAGGTAACCAGCTCCTAACTTAATTGTACCCTGCTGTCATGTGGAAAAGTGCCATAAGCAGCATTAAATAAGATTACTGTTGCACATGGCCAATTATTGACCGACTAACTACTATCAAAATAGCTTGCCTTTATGTGGCTGCACAGTAAACAGATGCACCAGTCACTCTTCATTCATTGACAACTGTGATGTTTAGTTTTTTGTTGTTTTTTTCTGTTGTCATTTTGTTTTGTTTTATTTGACAGTGCCATGTATTCCTGTTTCCTTGCCACTAATCTTCAGTTGTGTCTGTATTTATAGTATGTACAGTTCCAACGCACACATTTAGAACATGTTCTATGCATGCTTTGATAAAAGAGGACCCAGACGATTCAAACCGTAGTGATTTCTTCAAGAAAGTTCTTCCTCTTTGTCTCTCTCCCCTTTTCTTCCCTATAACTGCCTCACTTTCTCCCTCCTAACCTCGTTACTTTCTCTCTATAAACACCTTGCCAACAACTCATTCTCGCCCTACTTTCTTTCTTCAACTTGTCGCCTCTTTGAAAACCAAATGATCCCCTTTTCTGTCACTTCTCTCTCTCATTTGCATGTTTCTTGCCCAACTTCAAAAACCCCTCCAATATCTTTTGATTCCCACTCCTGCCTTTCTTTCCCTTTTACTCTACATATTTCTCCTTTGCTCCTATCTTGTTTTCTCCTTTGTGTGGTTTTCATAGGGAGCAGCCGATCTGACTCCGTCTGTTGCTTCAACACATTCCTGTGCTACCTGTGCTTTTCTAACTTGAGTGCCTCTTCTCCAAAGCCTCCAAATGATCTCATCTGTCCTACTTTTCCCTCTTTCAATCTCCTTTTACTTTCACATTCCTCTCTATTATCTCCTGCTATATCTTCCTACATCTTCTCCAAAACTCCCAAATTCTTTCTCTCACAATAATATTTTCATTTTCTCACATCATTTCTTCACCTCCCAACAGCCAAACCTGATTCCTGCCCAGGAGCTTTTTTCTACTCTTCCTACACTGTTTTTCTTTTGCTTTAACACGCCTCTTATCTTCTCTTGCCTCACATCGCCCTCTCTCCAAAAACCTTGAAAGATTTCATTCTCCGCCCATTTTTGATCTTTCTTTCCTGATCATCTCCACACATCCTTCCTTCACTTCCCTTTCTTTCTTGTTGTCTTGTTGAGACTTTATGATCTTTCCCTCTCACTGCTGTCTTTAACAGCTTTTCTAATAAGCACGCAGAGTGTAGCAGCAGTGTGTGGCACATCAATGTCCTACTTAACTGTCCTGTTTTTAGATCCAAGTCCCTCTATCTAGGCCAGAGTCCAGTGCGAGGATCAACAGGTTCTCTTGTGTGTTATCCGTTTACTGATATTTGCTTAGAGAAGCACCAATCAGGATCCATATACTTACTGATATAATGAACAAATACACCATCGCTAAAAGAAACTCTAAATGGTAAAACCTCTAACACTGAGTCAAACAGACTGTGAACACAGATGCTGAATATTACTGCCTTGGCCATATGAGGGGAAAAAAAAATCAGGCAAGCAATGTTAAACAATGTTTGTTTAGCAGCATCTCTCTGGTCCAGTGAACTATAACTGATCATACAGGATGTGAAACTAATAATGAATCTGGAATGAAAGCAACTTAGAAAGTGCCTGAAATGCATTTTTCAAATAAGGGGAACTCAGGAATCTACATGGGAGAATATATACACTTTTTTGACGGATGGGGGGTCAGGCACCACAATGGACGAGGAACAGCTGCTTCAGGAAGCTGAAATGGGGAATTACCTTGACAATTCCTCCTCATTTCATTCCAAAAGCATAAAAACTAGAGGAATTGCTGGGGAGCTTAAAGTTTCTGGTAAGGTAAATGACCATCACTACTGACAAGCTTATGTTAGGCTACTTGCTGTTGGCAATACTGTCTTTCATTTCCAGTAAATATCACAATATAAAACATGTGTTTTGTGATTTTAAAATTATCACTACAAATGCAGGAAGAAGGCAGGTATGCTGGTTTCCCCTTGAGAGACAGCGTTATTATGTCCGACTCAGAGGCGGCAGCTGAGTCTAGTGGGATACCTGGTAAAAGTCAGTATACCAATCCGGTCTGGTGTTTGGCTTAATATCAAACCAATTTGAAAATGTTCGCACCAGCCCAACCCTAGCCCGGATATATCCTGTGCCAGTTAGCCTGAAACTTGTGTTTGCTTTATGCTAACAAGAGATGCTGCAACAGCAGAGGGGCCTTGTAGCCTTGTAGAGAGGGAGAGAGAGCACCCCAGGTGTTTTGACCCAAGCAGAAGTCAGTCCATCTGATGCAGCATTTCTGCAAGTCCGCCCACATTTTCACGTCGGGGCAAACGGCTTAACTTCATCACTATAAATGTGTGTGAGATTTTGCCATATTAGATTTGCAGCAATCGATGATTACACAATACCTGCACCAAAATTCAGGCCCTGGTCAGTATTCTTAAATGGATATAGTAGCCAAACTGATATGAATACTACTGAGAGTCCATAGCCACGCTAGTGTGGCTATGGCTAAGTTAGGGTCATTTATATATATATATATATATATATATATAGCTTTGCAGGTATTTGGTCGTAAACCAAAAAAACAATTCAGGTTTTCACCTGATGATGGCTATACATGAAGTTAGGGTATCACAAAAGTTATTGTGATTGATCATGTAGGAACCATGAATGTCAGTTCAAAAAAATGTGTGTCAATCCATCCAATAAATGTGATAATTCTCTGGATAAGTGAAAAATGTCAACCATCTGATGGCCCTACAGAAAGACCAGGACATCACGAACGTCAGTAGAAGTCAAGTCATCCTCTGGGAACCATGAATATCTATACAAAATTCATGTCAGGTGAATCAACTAATGATTTCAGCTCTATTTTAAACCCACCAAAACCTATCAAAGGTAGGTAAAGAAGCTGTGATGCCAAATTATGATGACAGGAACCTGCAATAAGCTGACACAGAGCTCCAACAGAAGCTTCAACACACCGGTCAATGAGACAGGATCTGTAGATCTGGAGCAATAACAGATTTACAGCAACTTATGTTTGACATATGGTATGTCCTCATGTGATTAAGAGCCTTAAGCTAGGTGTTGGTTGCTGCACTACAACATAATACATGCTTAAAATATGACAGTTTGCTCACCCCTCCAGATTCTGCCAGACTTGCTTGACTACATATTCGAAAAGCCCAGAGGCTGGTAGATTCTGATACCAACAACACTTTGTTCCTCTGTTTCATACTGTCCCCTGAATCATCTCATCACCCTCTGGGCTGAGACTCACTGTGAGGTATCAACTGTGATGAATCAGTATGCGGCGGAAGCTGCATCATGTTTGACTGAATCCCCCATCCAGCTGTCACTTGGGATGAAAACAGCTCTGCTGAGGGCAAAGATAGAAGTTCCCTCATGGGAAAAACACCCAGTGTCTCTGGCCAGGAGTGTATTTTCACATATAAGAAGCAGGATGGAAATCTCAGGACCGTGACACATTTCCTGTTTGTTCCCGGATGCCATCTGCTCTGCCACTACTCACTTCCTTCCGTGTGTGTGTGTGTGTGTGTGTGTGTGTGTGAACATGTGTGTGTGTGTGTGTGTGTGTGTGTGTGTCTCACCCAGACGACTGCCATTGCGTGGCATTGCCATGAAGGACCCGAGGGTGCCGCCGATGACGCTGTGCGGCCGGCGGAGGGGAGGCTTCTTGAAGGGACCGGTGTACTGGTGCAAGAATGAGTGCATGCTGTGGGAGGTGGGGGGGCGGCCGTTCCTCATGAAGGGCTCTGAAACACAACAGATCAGCAACGCTTATAATTATGTCTGTTCTGAAAATCTGAGTATCAGAGGCTCAACGGCTGCATTACAAATATCCAAAAACCCAAATCAGGTACCAACATGGTGATTCTTAATATGATCTTCTGCCTTCTTCAACCCCTTGCAGTGGGTTCTTCTTTTCATATTCATGCTGTGCAGCCAAGCTTTGTTTACAGAACTTTATTTGACATTTCAGTCAAGGTCCCGACATTTCCAAAAATACCAAACATCAGGCTAAATTATGGAAATATGTGTATAAATAAATGTAAGCGGACATCAAATATTCCCCAAAGTTATGTAATGTTGCACTAAGTTGGGTTAGAATAACTGACTCAATGTGAGCGGATTCAAATGTTAAAACTATTCTGCTATTCAAGAAAGAAAGTGAGCGATTTCAAGCAACTAAAAAACTGAATTCATGTAGAAATGTTTGTCACTTTCTGCCTGAACACAACAGGTAGATTTTGTTACCTTCTGACATAACCAGGCTTGCCATTTCCCCTCTTTTTGGTAAGCTAAGCTAACCGGCTGCCAGCTGTAGCTTCACATCACTTGGACCTTACTGACATTTTATATTTATATTTGCACTCTACATATGTTAGGACAGTACCCGAATAAGATGTTTTTTTTTAATTCAAATCAGATTTGACTGTTCAATACGGAGAGCTGACTATTCATTCCCAACATTTTTTGCGTGCACAGGCATGCATAACAGTGTCTTTTCTCAATACTACATCTCTAGAGCTGTCCGAGAGAGGGGTTCAGAGGATCAATGTGCTGCACGCTGTATGATGCATTAAGAGTCTACCATTCAACATAGTGAAAAAAAATGTCAATATATAGCGGTCATTGTTGATATTGTGTCAGGTCACCACAACTAAATAAATCTATGGGAGACACTGTAATGTAATGTATTCTGAATGACAAAACAAAAGTGGAAAGAAAAGACAGCCCGAAATGGAGAATTTCAAGTCCATTGAGAGCCGACCAGATGATTTGACTCTTCAACTTCACGGGGCAGCCCTAATATATTTTCACTACATTTTTTCTTCTTTGTATTGCCACTGCTTCGCTCAGGATAAACAAAGTTCTATCTTATCTATCATACAGACATGAGTGCTTCTTATCTAACTCTCAGCAATAAAGTGAATACATACGTTTCCCAATGTGTCCAATTATATTATAACACTTGAGTTCAAGTAATTTTTAATGTCTTGATGAATAAAAATTTAACACACGTTGCCTGACAAATGTGGGCAAACAGCACAAGGAGAAAAAAACTGCTGTAGTTCTGGAAACTTGATAGCCACAAGGCAATTATGCTACTTTACTGATAAGAAGCACATAAGCTTCACTCACAGGACTCAACTGGCAAACAACTGTCCAACCCTAGTCTGCAAGGAAACCCTGTAAGCAATCCAGCGTTCTCCCTGTGGCTGTCAGAGCGCAGCTAAACCCAAATAGGTCATAAATTGTCCCATCCTGATCTGTATTAGACAGGCCGTAAGTCTCTCTTATCTTTGAGTTTATCTTTCTGTCCCTGCCAGTGTTCTTTATTTCATCCGACCTTCTAAACTCTGAGCTGACAAGCTGTGCAGTGTTCCCACATGTCAGCCTCACAAATTCACATTATGCTGCCCACAGGTGCTTGTCACTTGAATCACAATTACAAGTTGAGCATGCATGAGTTATATTAACAAGGAGATGAAAATGTCAGGGCTAGTTGGGGTTTCATGCCCTTCATTAGCAGAGAATAGAAACCTTTTCAGCAACTGGCAGCAATCAGAAAGAGGACCTGTGGGTTTGATGATTTTTAGATTTGATACAGGAACTGAAGCTTCTTCTACTGTTGCATTTATTGTAAGTCTTTCTGGATTTGAAGCATCAGCCAAATGACCGAAATGGGAAGTCTTCTGTAAAAGATGGACATGTGTGTCCATTTATTCTGGCAGCTGTCACTCACAAGTGGCAGCCAGTGACTTTAATGTATCTATCACCCCAGCAGCTCATTGGATACAAGATCTACTGTGATGCCAAAACTGGCAGAAAGTTATATAACATAGTGATGTCAAAGAAAGTGTGTCTGCGAGTGTGTTAATACTTGTTCCCTATATATAAACGTATTTCTCACTTGCTGGACTGCTGAGTGTGTGTGTGCGTGTGTGTGTGTGTCTGTGTGTATTTGAGTAGCTCCCTTGCTTTAACTCCTGTTACATAACTTGATAGAGAGCTACTCAGCGGAAGTCCATTACAGCTGTTATTCAAACACACATGCTGTACTCTCTCTCTCTTCATCAACTTCAGTGTTTCATAATTGAAATACCCCTGAGAGCCACCAAGATACTGAAAGCTCTGTATATGTGTGTGTGTGTGTGTGTGTGTGTGTGTGTGTGTGTGTAGTTTTGACATGCCTGCTGACAGACATATAGTGGAAGATATCAGACCTGTGGAATTTCCTTCTCTTGTTGGAAGATGAACCGTTTTGATGCTTTTTGCAACAAATTATGTTCTGAACTTTAACTATAAATGCAGTATTTGCAAATTTTACCCAGATTTTTGTTATTAACTATAGCTTTAAATAAGTTTTTTTTTTTTTTTTAATTAACTGTAGCTTATTTATAAAGGTAGTATTGGCATATTTTACCCAGATGTTTTTAAACTAGAGCTTTTTTATCAAGGTATCTTTGACAGATTTTACCAAGCGTTTTTGATCAACAATACCATTGGCAAAATTTACCCATATTTTTTATTGGGTGTAGCAATTTAATATAGTATTTTTGGCAGGTTTTATCCAGGTTCTTTTTTTTTATTAACTGTCACTAAAATATAAAGATAGCATTAGCAAATTTTACCCAGATTTTTGTTATTAACAGTGGCTATTTAATATAGTATTTTTTGACAGATTTTACATGAAATTTTTTATTTATCTATTTTCTTTTTTTTTTTTTGGTTTTTACTGTAGCTATAAAAATAGTATTGGACAATTTTACCCAGTGTTTCTTAAGTAACTTAAGCTTAATTATAAAGGTAGTATTGGCAAATTTTACCCAGATGTTTTGTTATTAATGGTAGCTTTTTTATAAAGATATTTTTGATAGATTTTATAAAGTTTCTGTTACTTAATTATTAATGTAGTATCAGTAAATTTTGGCCAGATTTTGTTGTTAACTGAAGCTTTTTTATAAATGGATTTTTGAGAGATCTAACCCAGATTTTTTTTTATTGAGTGTAGCTTAAAGCCCCTACAAGGAACTTTCATTTTGAGTTGATTTTGGCGACCCTGTGGACAAAAGCGGTAATGTTTGCCTGGCTGGTACCTGTCGTCGGCCCGGATGAGGTGTTCCAGCCCCGCGGCCCCTGCTCTCCTCGTCCCCGCTGGCGCGGGGTGAATCTGCGCAACCTGCGGCCTCTGTGCGTGGCCCCCCGGACAGCTAACGCCGTGGACCCGCCGCCTCCTGCCAGGATTGGGCTGGTAAATGCTAGATCGCTAGCCGACAAAACATTTATCCTGAAGGATTTCCTGACTTCCCGAGGATTGGATTTTCTCTGTGTGACTGAGACGTGGCTGACTGTTGGTGAGTCCAGTGCTTTCACAGAACTTTTACCCAATGATTGCTGCTATTTTAACTCCCCGCGGACGTCGGGTCGAGGAGGAGGAATAGTGACTATTCATAAATGTAAGCAGCTAGGTAAGATGACGTGTGCCGTCTGAGTGCTGTAAATCGCTTCGTCCTGGAAGCGACCTGGGGCAGACCGGAGACAGTTTCCTAAAGGTATGGATATACACTATATAGAAATAGCTTATCTTCACACCGATGCTCTCATTTGCTGTTGTAGGTCACGCACAGACATCAGCAGAAACAAGAGACTTTTGCATATCCAGTTAAAAGTTCCTTGTAGTGGCTTTAACTATAAAAGGTATTTTTGACAGGTTTTTACTCGTTTTTTTTATTGAGTGCATCGCTTTAAAATGGTATTTTTGACTGGTTTTACTATGATTTTCTTTATTAACTGTGGCTCAATTATAAAGTTAGTATTGAGAAATTTTACCCAGATTTGTGTTACTTACAGAAGCATTTTTATAAACGTATTTTGCCAAGACTTTATTTATTAACTGTAGCTGTACTAAAAAGGTGAGATTGTTTTATTGGGTGTCGCTCTTTTAAAATGAATAAAACTGAAAATGAACATGAACATTTGACATAGATTTTATCCAGATTTTTTCTTTATTAAATTGTAGCTTAATTATAAAGATAGTATTGGCAAATTTTACCCAGGTTTTTATTATTAACTGTAACTTAACTATAGAGGCAGAATTGGCAAATTTCACCAAGACTTTTATCTGTAGCTCTGTTATAAAAGGTATTTTTGACAAATTTCACCCCTAGTTTTTTCTATTAACTGTGCTTTCTGACTATAACTCTTTAATATGGTATTGTGGACAGTTTGTTCTTAAGAGGAGCAGATCAGTTTAAACCGATTTATCAACCACATTTTATGGCCCCATACACTAAAAATTTGTTGTGTTTTGGCATGACTTTGGCCAGGAGCAATGTCTTATTGATTTTTTTATCCAATATATTTACAGATTTGTTTGTTAAAATCTTACCATTGTCCTTGGTGCCACCATCCTCAATGGTCATCTGCTCAGCCAGTTCTGACAGAGACTCGTCAATGGTCTGACTGGAGCGGAGTGTTAACGACAGGCGCTTCTTAATCCTCTTCATCTTCTCCATAACAGGGTTGTACGTGGCCTGCCGGACACACAGAAGCACACAGTCAACATTAATTCAGCAGAAATGGACTGATACACAAGCAGACGAATGCACGCAACATTTAGAGCAGTTTTTTTGTTGCTGTTGTTGTATGTGTGTGTGTGTTTGTGTGTGCGCACAGCGTGGGGGATTCCAGAAGCCTCTGTACAAACCAAAATATCTCAGCTCATAAATAACGTAAAGCCGCTTTTAATCCAATATTCATTCGCTCTGCAAATGCTTGAGCAGCACATGAATAAAGCATGAACACAGCATGAATAAAGGATGAATATCACAGACTTGAATGCAGCTGTTTTCACTTACACACACATTCACACATTTATACAAGGGGAAATTAATGAACTCTAATTGAAGGAGGAGAAAGTCAAATCAGTTAGCAAACACACACACAAACACACACACGAACCACACGTCTGCAAACTCATGCAAGTGTTGTTCCAGACGAGCGTGTTTGTGTTGAGGCAGCATTCATCCAGGTCACAGGAAACACCTTGCTCGATCTGCCTCAAGCCAGACCCTGCTCATTGTGTCGCTGTGTTAACGCCCCATGCAAGTGTGTGTGTGTGTGTGTGTTTAAGGAACAGGCTCTCTGGGTGAATGGAGGAAATGCAGTGAGGAAGCAGCAGCAGCAGAAATGCCCCGCCCATCCCACCCGACCCTCAGCGCAAAACAAACTGACCCTTGCCGTCACCATCTCTAGCTCCCTCGTTCTTTCTCTCTTCCTCTTTTTCTCTTTCAGTCTCTCTCAAGGTCGTTAGCTCCCCTCATACTCATGAGACACCATCTGCCTGTCTGCTCACATATACACACACACACACACACACACACACACACACACATATACCCTTTAGCAATTTGTCATTCATGACACTACGTGGCCAGAAACACTTCATCAATCAGTGTTGGGACATTGGGACATATGACCGCAACCTTACAACAACACACAACCACAGCCTGCTTATCAGATTTTGTATGGTACAACACACACACACACACACACACACACACACACGCATTTAAGGAAAATGCAAATGCTTTGTAGGTTTGCGTGTGTGCATGTGTGGGGACATGACCTGAATTTCCTCTCAGCTGGCAGCAGTTGGTCTAATTAAAGCCCAACAGACGACTGGAGAGGAATTTATTGATTAAAAGATTTAATTTCATGAATATTAACTTTATTCTGTCTGTCAAGGACTTAAGTGGTTATTAGTTGAATACCATTCTGTAGTATGTTAGACCCCTAAATGCAAATCAGAAATCTTAAATTCTAAGTAATGATACAATATGCTATCAATTTCAAAAAGGGTTATTATTGTAGTTTTAATTATAGTGTACTGACACCCAATAATCATATGCTATAGATTATATTACGGCCTTTATTCTTACTGATAAATATCTTGAATTGCATGCAGTGTTTGTGAACAAAGCCAAAGCTGTAAACAGGTCTTGGGAAGACTTGATGTATATGTGATATGTGCTCCAGAGGGAGCTGCACACACCGCGTCTTTCACACAAACTGTAAAAATAATGGACGAGCTAGCGTGATGTCACCCATTGGTTGTGGACTCCCATTTTGAAGCCTTGAATTCCACATTATGGCTCTTGCAATCTTGTTTTTTAGGAGCCAAAAGTGACCATATTTGTGCAAGAGGATGGCACTGTGGAGGATCTAACTGACAAGCCAAGGACACTACCAGCAGACAGCCTGTCACACAAATCGGCCCGCCCTTACTGGAGCCGTTGCACACTGAAAGAGAGGCACTCGAACATGTGTTAAGCCCATTTACATTGAAACAGTTGATTTCAGGGCCCAAAAAAAACACAACATATGTCCCGGCACTTAGAAAGAAGAGAGTTTTCCTGACATTTTGTAGCCATGTTCTCATCTCTGCTTGTGGCTAGCAGCTTGTGGCTACATCAGCTGCTTCTAGCATAACACAGCTAAGACTCTGACCAAACTGTTGGATTGTGGGTGGCAGCTTAATTATGGTACTTCATCTTATCAGTGAGTCAAATATTGCCATAAAGCAGTCCTGTCACTTAATTTGCAACATTCCTCACAGTGACCTCACACAACAAATACTAAAAACTAAAGATGTGCAACATTGTTTTGTTTTTTTTGCCGACATCCAAAATGCCGATATATAACAACTTATTTGGCAAATAACCAATATCAATATATCCACTTTTTTTCCCCACCTAATTTTAGTGATCATACTCTTATCGTGATGGCTCACTAGCAGAAAGAGACATGAAATAAGAATGCTTTTTGATAAATTTAATATTCATTCATTGTGCCAAATAAGAAAAAGCATGTTGGCCAATTCTAATAGTTCATTTCAAAGCCGATATCGGCCAATACAGATATTATCCTGCATCCCTATTAAAAACAGCTATGTAACTGCACTTTTACTTGAGTTGAAAATTCTCTCTAAATACTCTTTCCATTGCTGTTTCAGAACTTGTGATCAAATCTACATTAGGTAGAGTGAATTTCTGTTATGTTCACACCATTATTGTTATTCATTTATTTTAAATTAATGTGCATTTTTCAAAACATTTTCCAAATAGTCTGCAAAGTGTGTTTGTTGGCCTGTCCAGTAACCTGTGTGCGATTATCCCACTGTGTCATGCTGGCCCTGGTGGCCCTATCGGCATGCAGATCTGATGACAACACACATGCACTCATACACACATGCACATAAAAAGCTATCAGACAGTCCAGAAATGGGGAAAAAGGGAAATAACATTCCAGCTAATGAGGCTGAAAATCAAGCTCGTAAAAATCGTAATGCAAAAATAAAATGACTGCATTGGAGAAACACTCGCAGACAAACACACACACATACTTTCTCTCCCTCATATACGCACACACACTCACTGTATGTGAGATAAGCGCTCTTTGTCTCCCTTACAGAGGAGTGTAACAGAGCTGGGTTTTATCTCTGAAGCAAACCAAAACAAAGAGACTCATGTGATGTGTGTGTGTGTGTGTGTGTGTGTGTGTTTGTCTGAGTGTTGAGATTACAGCATCTGGCACATGAATGGTGTGTGTGTGTGTGTGTGTGTGTGGGGGGGGGGGGGGGGGGATCCAACATGAAAAGCAACACAAGCAATCTGCCACCAATAGAGAGACATAGAGGGAGAACTGAGACCCCCCAACTCTCTTTCATCATCAGCATCCCAGAAATTCTCTTTCACGCACACTTTTTGACCCACATTCCCGACATCCCCCACTCCATCACTCCTCTGCCTCCTCTTGGATGCCCCCCAAGTGGATTGTGGGTAGTCCAGCGGAGGAAACTTCAAAGGGCACGCGAGGGGGGAGACAACAGGCGACACGGTCTAATTACTGGGCTAATAATTACACACATACACACACAGATACACACCTTCCTTCCATCTTTCATTCCTTGCCCTCCTTCCCTCTCGTTCCCTCTTTTTCTACTTCCTTTCCTCCCTCCTTTCCCAACTCCAATATGAGAATGAGGTAATGGAACAGAGAATGTGGCTTTACATCCAGTCTCAGAGATGTGGGCGAAAGTGTGAATGTGAAGAGGAAGAGCAAGAGGAGAAAGAGGAAGAATATGAAGATGAGGGAGAGAAGGAATGGGAGAGAGAAAGTGAGTTTATTCCAGTGAACGGAGCCATAATGGAGCCTTTGTGTTTGGTTAAGAGCCATGAAATCACCAGAGTGACTACAGGCATGTACAGTGCTGCTAAGAGAGGGAGAGAGTCGCTAGTTCAGTGGCTAGTTTTTGTGTCTATAGCAAATTTGGGAATTAAAAGCATAAACTTTTTTAGTTGCCCAATCAAGTGTGACTGTTTCACCAAATCCAGCAGGTCATACAGAGCATGTTCCCTTTGTAATTATTCAATAAATGGATGTTTTCAAAATTGAATTAGTTGTCACGTAAGTGGCCCCCAAACTTCCTGATACTGTGAGTATAGTTGTCATATGAAGGGCAGGGTTTTGAACATCAGTACAATTGAGACTGACTGAAAATGCATAAAGTATGAAAAGTTGGTGTCAAACATATTTACACTTAAAGGGGAACACAACCTAAATTAAGAATTCCAATATGTAACTACCATGGCCTAGGAAAGTTCAATCAGTACTTGTGAACATGAGCTACTCCCTCTCAAAGTCATAAACCAGAGAAGTTAGGGCTCATATATGCTAAACTTTGGATGCGGAGGCAAAGACAGACGAAGCCTTCTGTCTGTCCTATGCGTTCATTTTGTCCGAATTTGTGCACGTTTTCTGAAAGATTATGGGTACAAACGAAATGGAGAAGTGCCACTGTAGATTGTGATGGCAGTGTAGTGTAGCTCAAGCAGGATACGACTTTCAGAGACGACTAAGAAATTTAAATAAAGGCGGAACAACAGGAATCATAATATAACATTGTGAAAATAGTTAAATGAATTCTTCATCCACTTCGTGATGTATATAATGGCTGCACAGTCCTCTGATGTCTACAACACTGCCTCTGTTTAAAGGTACAATATTATGAACTCATCCACTGTTGCCTTTTTTGTTGTTGTCTGAACTTTTGACTTTGCCCTCTACTGCCATTAATGGGCTCTATGTTATCATAAAGAATGCATGGAAGTATAAGGGCAGTGACATTTATTATGTTTGAAACTGATGAATTGATTTTCTTATGTAAAGGGAGCATAAATAAGCCTTAAGTCTTAAACTTGTGATGTCACAGGGTAAAATCAAATCAAATCAAGTTTATTTATGTAGCACATTTAAAAACAACCACAGTTGACCCAAGTGCTGTGCAAAATAAAAGAATGACAGAATAATATATAGCAATATAAAATGTACACAAAAATAAAACAGAATAAAACTGGTAAGAACAGTCACATATGTAAAAAATATTATAAAAAACTACTACTACTACTACTAATAATAATATTAAAACCACTATCAACAACCAAAGGCCACTGAAAACATGTATGTTTTAAGA